CTAGTGCGTGGTCAGTGCACGCCGCCCTGGCTCCCCCACTGCGCCCCTGCTTCCCTCCCTTCCCCTTGGGCCTGGGTTGGCGCACACGCCCCGTCGGGCCTCCGAGCCTCCCTCGCCTCTCTTGAGGTCGATGGCAACATGTATACACACCGTCACCAGTTTTCGCCCTCTCTGCTCGTCTCGTCTCAGGCTCGTCTCGTCTTCATCCTCCCTCCTCCTCCTCCCTCCTCCTCCTCCCTCCTCCTCCTCCTCCTCCTCCTCCTCCCTCCCTCCCTCCCTCCCTCCCTCCCTCCGCGCCCTCGCAGGGAGGCGGGGGGGCCACGGCGCGGGAGAGCTCTCCCGAGGGACGGGGGTCCGCCCCGAGCCCCTGCTGCCCCGGCAGGCAGCACGCAGCCCGCAGCGCGTTTCGGCCACGCGCGGAGGAGGAGGAGGAGGAGGAGGAGGAGGAGGAGGAGGAGGAGGAGGAGGAGAGGAGGAGGAGGAGGAGGAGGAGGAGGAGGAGGAGGAGGAGGAGGAAGAGGGGCGAATATGTCCCCCGCCGAGGGAAGCAGGAAGGTGGGGGCATGCAAAACGACAGAACTACTGGGGTTAGATTCCTGCCGCGCACCTGGACCCAGGAGACGGGGGTCCACTCGCGGTCACGCGCAAAAGGGGGTATAAGCAGGGGGGATGCCTCTTAGAAGGAGGCGTTTCTTGGAAGGCGCGGGCCTGAGCTAGAGATGTAAGGCCCGCGCCTTCTAAGAAGCAGCACCTCCTTCTAAGATCTTAGTAAGCAGCTTTCCCCCTCTCCCCTGCCCCCTTGTGCGCGCCACATGGTGCCGGTGTTGAAAAGAGGAGGCCTGTCGCGATACGCTCGCCAGCACGTGGGCCAGCACGTGCGCGAGAGGCGTGCTGAGCACGGTGCGAGCTGCGTTGTGACAGGGCAGCTACGGCCCGAACCTCTCGAGGGGTGCGCTCAGGGACACACACACACACACATGAGCAGACACAAGTAACAGGATTCCCCATAATTTTAAATCTTTTCTGGGTTTTCGTCTTCCCCCCCCCCACTTCCCATATTTTCCCATCTTCTCCTGGGAGTCGACGATGAAGTGCGTCTGTGTGTTTTTCCCCTCCTGCATTGACTTTTTGGCGCTCCGCACGCGGACTTCTTGGGTCTGCGCCGGAGCCCCCCCCCCGCCCTGGCGCGCGGAGCGTGCGCCGAGGGGCGGCGCCGGAGGCGTCGCCGGGGGGGGGGGGGCCCAGCGCGGGTCCAAGACATCCGAGCGCCAACAGTGTATGCTTACAGTCGGGGCGTTGACCTAAGGAACCCTACATAAGGAACGAGGCCTCTTTTTTCCATAAGTTAAACTTCGATGTGCCATTGAAAACCTGAGGAAAACCCAAGGCAAACTGTAAAACAATCAAGGAACGCCGAGCCCCTCCCCAACGAACAGGGTTCCTTCTTCAGCGCCCCGACTGTATGGCGTATTTCCATCTGCGATCGGAGGGGGGGAGGGATCCGAAAGATGCCAGACACATTCGGAGCCGCTCGGGGGAGGGGGGGGTCGACAAGGCTCGAGAGCCTTCGAGGCCCGGGGTGGTCTCCATCCGCTGCGCCTCGTCGAGGGCGCTCCAGGGGGGGGCCGGTGTCGTCTCGCGAACGGCGACTGGAGCCAGACCCGTGTCCCGAAAGCGGGGGCGTGAGTGTGGCGCGCGGGCGCGGGTCGTTCTCGGATAGGAGCAGGACTCGCCGCGCATCGCCTCAGCTCCTGTCTGCGCTTCCTCGTGAGCGCGCCTGTCCCATCCCTTCTTCCCGCGGCCGCCCCTCTTCCCCCTCCTTTTTTTGTGAAGGGGCCCTGGGACACACAAATAAGTACACACAAACAACAAGATCCCCCCTATTTCCCCATATTTTCTGGGTTTTTGTCTCCCCCCCCATTCTCATATTTTTCCGTATTTCCCTAGGAGTCGACGATTAATTGTGTCTGTGTTTTTGTTCCCCCCCTCCTTTTCCACTTGCATCCGGGCGATTCGCAGTGCCGTCACCCGGCTGAGCGCGCGTGCGGGCACGTGCGGACTGCCTCCGCCGCGCTGAGGGTGAACATGCTTGCGTGTCCTCTAGCCTCGGGGGCGCTCCCTCCTCGAAGCATTGGGCGACGACTCCAACAAGGGCAGGTTCGTGTCGTGACGACCGCGGGGCTGGTCTCTGACACCACGCGGATCGTTCAACCCGAAAGCGTTCAACAAATGGTTACCCCGGCGCCCCCCAGGAACTGCACTCTAAATGGCCACTCTGGCGAAGAAAGGGAGCGGAAGGATGGCAACCCCAATCCCCTACCTCTGTGAAACAGTTCGAACAGACAGAACGTTTCGGGGCAAATGCCAAGACATGCGATGGAGAGCGGGGCAAATGCCAAGACATGCGATGGAGAGGCGTCCATCCTCGATACGGTGTGCGTCTGGACAGCTCCTGGGGTGCATCTTCGAGTTCCCCTCTGCTTCTGCAGGGCCAATCCGTTGGCGGAGGACTGGGGGATCGGAGGGAGACCTCGCCCGCGCTCCGACCTCCGGGCCCTGCCGCCGCTCACGTCCTGCCGATCCCCTTCGCCTTTCGCCCTCCTGCTGCTGCCATTGCTGCCCTCCCGCTCCCGTGCGCTCCCCGCTGGTGGCAGCGCTGGCCCACGCCGCCTCGTGAACGTGCCGAAATAGATGAAGACCTCCTTCTGCTCCGCTATCGGTCTCTCCGAGCTGGCGCGCCGGCAAGGCTGGCCCGGAGGGACGCCGCGGACCAGCAGAGGCACAAGCGTACTGACGCGACGCGCCAAAGCAGCGCTCGCCATCTCCGAGGGCGCATCCTGGTGTCAAAGTCAAAGCCAACGTGGACGTGGTCGTCCGCGTCATCGTCCTCGCCCTCCACCCCACCTCTTTCAAAAAGGTCTCTGGAGGTTCCCAGGAGATCCCAGAGGCTTCCGGAGGCTTCTGGGTTCCCAGAGTGAAGCCAAACCGTCCACAAACAGTCCGAGGAACAAGGATCCAGGATCAAAAGTTGTGGATAGATAGGTGTGCGTAATGTTTGCTCGACTGTTTGCGAATTGATCTGTATATATATGTATATATATACATATATATCTATATATTTCTATATATATATATATACTATCCTGTTTGGCGCGTCTGCTGCTTCTCGGCGTCCACGGGCCTCTGTAACTCTCAGGAGGTGGCGGGGGAAAGAGCGGAAGGCGGGGTCCCGTGCCTCCGCCACTCGACATGCTCGAAGCGCCCAGCCCTGGACCTCTCGACCCCTGTCCTTTTGGAGCGGCTCTTCACCCTGAGCGGGCTTTCTTCAAACGTTGGGGGCCTGGCAATTGGCACCAACACCAAAACAGGGGGGGGCCTCCACAGGGGGGAGCCGATCCTAGATTTCGGTGTTGGTGGTAATGTCTCGGTCGCCGTGGAAGCCGAAAGATTACCACCATCACCGAGATCGGAATCTTCTTCCCTCGGTGGAGGCACACCGCCGATATTGGTGTTGGTGTCAACCTCTATCGGCGGTGGACAAACCTCCCTTTAGTAAACCTCCCCTTAGTGAAAACGGCCTGGCACCGAAACCGACGGACCCGGACCCGCAAAACTGACGGCCGCGACGCCCTCTCGCGAACCGAAAACGGCCAATTCCTTACTCAACGTGTCAGGGTAGGAGGCCTGTCCACCCCCGACTCTAGGCCTGCGAAAAAACAGCTCGTCTCTGAGGGTCCTGTGCACTTCCGGCGAGAAGCCGGCTGCGGGGACCGCCGGATCGTGCATCGGCAGGGCGCTGTGGTCCCCCGTGGTCTCCCGTGGCCTCCCGCAGCCTCCCATCGCCCTAGGACTGCGGGCATTCGTATAGCTCTCTCGTCTCCCCCGTGACACCCCACGTTGGCAGCCCGCTGATCTTTCGTATGAGCTCCCGACGTGTCTCCCGCACTCTCGCCATCGCTCGGACGTCCATTTCCCGTGCACTTTTCGGTGTCGTGCGCGCGTGTTCTGCTCGATGGTCCAGGATGGTCATCGATGGTCCTCGCCAAAAAAAAGTGCACACGTCCGAGCGATGCCAAGCACGGTCTCCCGTACTCCCGTCTGCGATCCAACACTGTCGCCCGCCTGGTCTCCCGTGTTGCCTCCCCTGTGGTCTCCTGTATCGTTGTCTCCCGCTTGGTATCCCGTATGGTCTCCCGTGTGTGTTCCGCATCGTCTCCCGCAAGGTCTGACGTCTGGTTCTTCCGTGTTACTATTTACCATTTGCTGCAGTCAAAAACCCTAATAAGGACGCGCGGTAAGGACGCAAGACCCTTGGAGGCCGAAGTTTGGATTTTCGGGGCGGCGGACGACGAATACCCCGTAAGCGGGCAAGCGAAATAGGCCAAGGACGAGCCGCAAGAGCAAGGAAGAGCAAGGACGCAAGGGTACCCTGAGTAAAGTCGCGCGTCCTTATTAGGGTTTTTGACTGCATTCTCCCGCAGTGTCTGTTTCGCTGTCTTCCGTCTGGTTCTCCCGTAGTGGCTGCTGCTGCCATTACTCTGTTGCTGTGTTGTTCCGGGCCTTCGGCTGCTTAGGATCATGGGCCCCGAACGAGCCCCAGAAGCAGATATTCACAAACAACGTGCCGCTTCGACCTTGTCTTGGCGACGCATGGCTGGGGGAGAACAGAATGGGGACACGCTCCGCTTCACGTCATCCGCAGACCCTCACCCGCAAACCACGATTTGGCGACATACTTAGGGCTGCTGTGGTCACCATCGCTGTGGATGACAACATGGGCTGCATTCCCCACTTTCGCTGGCGCATTCAGAAATGGCTTCGCCGCGACACCGTGAGCCTCACCCGCGAAGAATGTGCAAATAGGGTATACGAGATTTCTCCATGCCTAGAGCTTACCCCATATACAATTGGTCTTCCACCCTCCTCGTTACCCTCCTCGAGCGGGGGTGCCTGAGGTAAGTCTCCCGCAGCACGTCCGTGAGCATCATGGCGAAGAGCGTCTTGGGGCACAAGGGGATGGCCGCGCGGGCCCGTAAACAGAAGGGACCGAGGAAGGACCAGGCGGACAGAGCAGCAGAGAGAGAGAGAGAGCATGAAGACGACGGAGAATGCGGCGCCAGGCAGTGGGGGGCGTGCAATGGCGAGCGGGCTGGCGGCTGGCATGCCGCGGTTGCGGAAGCTGAAGTGGGGGTGCAGCTCGGTCGTGGCAGGGGAGAGGGCGGGAGAGGGCTGGCTTGGCGTACAACCGCATGGGGGAGAGCGAGTTGAGAGGTGTGTGGGGGAACTATGCTGAGAAAACACATGTGATTGACTACGCGAGGGCTCAAGAACACGACGGGTTTCGTTGCCCACGGCCTTCCAAGGGGAGACTGTGTGTGTATACGTAACACCCCGCAGATGCAGATAAGAGTGAGGGGGCGGTGGGGACGTCGGCAATCTGCGAGACTCTGGAGAACCCGCCGCAGGCGCCAGAGTTTCACAAATTCTACAACGACGCAGGCGCAGATTTTTTTTCGTTAAACCAATGTGGGTAGGTCGCGGGTGGGTCGCGGGTGGATCGTAAATGGGTCGCGGCTGGGTCGCTGTTTGGTCGCGCGTGGGTCGCTGTTAGGTCGCGGGTGGGTCGCGGGGTGGGTCGCGGGGTGGGTCACGGGTCGGTCGCGGGTGGGTCGCGGGTGGGTCGCGGGTGGGTCGCGGGTGGGTCGCGGGTTGGGTCGCGGGTTGGGTCGCGGGTGGATCGCGGGGTGGGTCGCGGGTGGGTCGCGGGTTGGGTCGCGGGTGGGTCGCGGGGTGGGTCGCGGGTGGGTCGCGGGTGGGTTGCGGGTGGGGGTCGCGGGTTGTTCGCGGGGTGGGTCGCGGGTGGGTCGCGGGTGGGACGACGACAACAACAAACAAACAACAACAATAACGCAACACCGCAACAAGCAGAAACCTCACCACGGATCCCCACTTCAGCCACGCACCCAGAGACAATGAATGACCGTCCGGCCCCCTCACTCTGATATGTGCGTGTGTGTGTGTGTGTGTGTGGTACGTGGCATCCCGCAGATGCGGCTAAAAGTGAGAGGGCGGTGGGGACGTCGGCAGTTTGCGAGACTCTGGAGAACCCGCCGCAGGCGCCAAAGTTTCACAGATTTTGCAGCAAGCCCGCCGCAGGCGCACATTTTTCTTTAAATAAATGTGGGTGGGTCGCGGGTGGGTCGCGGGTGGATCGCGGCTGGGTCGGGGTCGCTGTTGGGTCGCGGGTGGGTCGCAGGTGGGCCGCGGGTTGGGCCGCGGGCGGGTCGCAAGTGGGTCGCGGGTGGGTCGCGGGTGGGTCGCGGATGGGTCGCGGGGTCGGTCGCGGGTGGGTCGCGGGATGGGTCGCGGGGTGGGCCGCGGGGTGGGTCAAGGGGTGGGTCGCGGGTTGGGTCGCGGGTGGGTCGCGGGTGGGACGACGACAACAAACAAACAAACAAACAAACAAACAAACAAACAAACAAGCAAACAAGCAAACAAGCAAACAAGCAAGCAAGCAAGCAAGCAACAACAACAACAATCATTTTAAGACTGTTCGCCCTTATCTGCTCGAGTGTCGAATAACGCGAGTTTCCCAAACCCTCGATACCCGCCCTTTTCGTCTTCGATCGAACCCCTTTTGGGGGGTATACCTTTCGTCCCTGCAGGCCGGGCCCCGGCAAGCGGCGGGGCGGCCGCGGACCGTCGGCCTGGCCAGCGGCAGCGCTGATCGGCGGGGCGGCCGCGGACCGTCGACCCGACCCCAAGAGGGACGGACAGGGGACCGACCGACGACGACGACGACGTCGACGACGACGAAGACGACGGCGACGGCGACGACGACGACGAGCGAAAGCGAGAGCGAGAGAGAACGACAGCAGAGCCACGAAGGACACGAAGTAGGCCACGAAGGGCGACAGCGGGGACACGAAGGGAATGCGTATGGGGCCACGAAGAGCGCGAACGAGCGTGGGCCACGAAGGGCAGATAATGCGGGGCCACAGAAGGCAACGATGGGGCCACTGAGGGTAGCACCTGGGCCACGTAGGACAATGAGGGGGCCACAAACGGCGACAGCGGGGCCACGAAGGGCATGCACATGGGGCCACAACGGGCGCGAACGAGCGGGGGCCACGAAGGGCATACGTATGTTGGGCCGCGGAGGGTACGGACGGGGCCACTGAGGGCAGCAACGGGGACACGAAGGGCAGCGAGGGGGCCACGAAGGGCTGCAACGGGGCCACGAAGGGCATGCATATGGGGCCACAATGGGCGCGAACGAGCGGGGGCCACGAAGGGCATACGTATATAGGGCCACGAAACAAAGCGAGGGGGCCACGAAGGGCTGCAACGGGGACACGAAGGGCAGCGAGGGGACCACGAAGGGCTGCAACGGGGCCACGAAGGGCTGCAACGGGGCCACGAAGGGCAGCGAGGGGGCCACGAAGGGCTGCAACGGGGCCACAAAACAAAGCGAGGGGGCCACGAAGGGCTGCAACGGGGCCACGAAGGGCAACGAGGAAGCCACGAGGGGCTGCAACGGGGCCACGAAACAAAGCGAGGGGGCTACGAAGGGCTGCATCGGGGCCACGAAACAAAGCAAGGGGGCCACGAAGGGCTGCAATGGGGCCACGAAGGGCAGCGAGATCCCGATTCCTAGGTCATCTGTGCAGGAGTCCGAAGCGTGAGCACGACTCCTGGGTGCCTGGGTGTCGGGAGCGCGGCGCTGGAGTAAATTGCAAGAGATTCCAACGCAAGGGTGCTATTCTTCAGTAAATTGCAAGCAAGTTTCCGGCGAGAGCGCGACTCCAGAGCGCAGGAGGAGCGATTCCTGAATAAATTGTAAGGAAGTCCCCAGCGAGAGCACGATTCTTGAATAAAATGCGAGGAAGTCTCGGGCGGGAGCGGGGGTCCTGGCTAAATTGTGAGGAAGTCTCAAGCGGGAGCCGTTGTTGTTGTAACCCGGGGGCCAGGGGGCGAGTTTGAGCAGGACGACTTTCCTGGACAAAAAACAAAGTGCGAGCCCCGGGGGGGCACTTCAATTAAAAAAATCAACGTGCACCGGTGGGGGGGATCAACAATAAGTAGTTTTCAAGAGTGAGAGTTCAACAACAGCAACAACAACAGCAGCAGCAGCAGCAGCAACAACAACAACAACAACAACAATCATTTTACCCGAACGCTCAGTGTTCTCACCAGTGCCAGGGTTTTCATGCGACGCGAGACAATACCCCCACTTCGTGGGGGGGCAGTTCAAGCTCTACCAAATATCCAAACGACTCTTCGCGACCACCCAAACCCAGCTTCCCGCCCTATGACGTTGGGACACTTCACTTCGTGGCGTGCGGACGACCGTGGCTACTACACTGGCGTGGGGTACACACCCACAGAACTTGGTCACTTATTCGGGGCGCGCGTGTGCCCAGCATCCTGCAATTGTGACATACAATACATGACACAGACAGACAGAGAGAGAGACAGAGAGCAGACAGAGAGAGAGACAGAGAGAGCGGAGTTGGTCACATTTTTGGGGCAAGTTCCTGAGATCGTCGTGTTTTTTGTTGGTCTTGCGCGCGCGAATGTCCACTTTACTTTTTTTTGCAAGGGAGTATTGAAATTTGATTATGTTAGAACAAGAAAAAGTAGCTCGCGCGAGCTCATGTAACATAAATGTTGAAAAACCAGAGTCGGACAGCGCGCGCGGAATGAAATTTGGACATTTTTTTTTGAAAAACCATTGGGTTTTTGATGTTTTTATGTTGAAATCGTTACGAAACCTAAGGTTCTGGAAGGATTTCGTCTTGCGCGCGCGAATGTCCACTTTACCTTATTTTTTGCAAGGGATTATTGAAATTTGATTATGTTAGAACAAGAAAAAGTAGCTCGCGCGAGCTCATGTAACATAAATGTTGAAAAACCATTGGTTTTGTGGGATTCGGACAGCGCGCGCGGAAGGACATTTTGACAATTTTTTCTTAAAAAACCATTGGGTTTTTGATGTTTTTATGTTAAAATCGCTACGAAACCTAAGGTTTTGGAAGGATTTCGTCTTGCGCGCACGAATGTCCACTTTACCTTATTTTTTGCAAGGGATTCTTGCAATTTGATCAAGTAAGAACAAGAATTTTCATTTTCTATTGTTTTTTGCAAGGGAAAACGAGCGTCAACAAAAAACCGGATCCGGACACAATCCACTTTTCTGAAGCTTTCGCGAAAAAATGATGAAAATGTAGCTGCGGCCTAGGCGCGGCGCAGAGGTCGCGCACCAGGGGTCCCAACAATAATAATTCTTTAGAAGGAATAATATTCAACAACAACAACGCAACAAGCAGAAACCTCACCACGGATCCCCAATTCTGCCACGCACCCAAGGACAGTGAATGACCGCTCGGCACCCACACTCTGATACATCTATATATATATATATATATATATATATATATGTATGTATGTATGTGTGTATGTGTATATATATATATACAAGTGGCACGTGTGTGCCCAGGCTCATACAAAAAGCTGAAGGGGCGTTTGAAGCAGGAGTGACATGCAACAGCGAAGTCGCACTCGAGCGCAAGTGGGGTTGCCACACCTTGCGATGTGTGTACCAGGGCCCCCCAGGAAGCCTCAGGAGGCCCGACTTGGATACCAGAAGAGGCTCCAGGAGGCCCCAGGATTGTGAGTGTGTGTGTGTGTGATGTGTGCTTTGTGTGGTGCGTGCTTTTTGTGTGTTGTCGTGTGTGTGTGTGTATGTTATGTTTGTCTAGCGTGTGATGTGTTGGGCGTGATTTGTGTCTCTGTGTGTGCATGTAGTTCTGAAGCCCCAGGAGGCCCCAGGAGGCCCCAGGCGGCCTCAGCAGGCCCAGGAGAACTCCAGGAGGCTCCGAGGCGGGGTCTGGGGTACCAGAAGGTCCAGAAAGCCCCAGGAGGCCCCAGGAGGTTCCAGGAGGCCCCCAGGAGGCTCCGAGGAGGGGTCTGGGGCTCGATTTTGGGAGGACGTCTCAGG